GTGATCAAAGTAGACATTTGAAAATGGTGTGGTGTGAAAATAATTTTTAAAGTCACAGTTTAAATAATTAAACACTTTCATATTTCCATTTTCTTTAAATGATGGGAATTTTTTAGAAGCCTATTACAACAACTAAATACACTTTTGATCATTTCTCCTAATGAAAGATGCTGTATGACTAAGAGAGACATGAATGATATGGTTTTTGTTTATTCTCACCAAACTTTATATCCAATGTTAGTCAGCAAACAAACTATTTAGAATTTGTTTCCCTTTGCTGAATACCTCACTGTTAGTTTCCTTTAGTAAGCAAGAATAAGTTTAGCCAATAATTTTTCAAAATAGAAAAGGGATAGAGAATATGTGGCTTTTGCAATCTAAAAAAAAACAAACAGAAAACTCACCTGGACAGCTGAAAGACTTTTTGTAAAATAAACAATCGAAACACTCTAAAACGTGGGTAGAAATGTGGGCTGCCTCAAATCTTAACATTGAAATTAAAGATAAAATTTAACTTACTATGGATAAGATAAAAACCCATTTAGGAAGTCTTAAAAATTTGGGATGATTGTTATAATTAATCATTGAATATAGTTCCGAGTGTCCTGACATTTGAGAGTAAAAACATTTTAAAAGTAGATTTTATGGTTCTATTATCTCCCTTAAGCCCCTTAATTAGTCTATCTGTCAAAACCATTAAGTGAATACATACACACACATTATAATATAAAAATGGTGTGTGTATATATATATATACATATGTATGAAATATAAAAATGCTTCTAGATTATTTAAAATAAGATAATTGATGGCTTTTATCCCCCACTCTGTGTCAGGCTCTCTGGTATGCAATTTCTGTATATTATCTCATTTAATAATCACCACTGACTTATAAAATAGATAATCATATTCCCATTTTAATATGAGACCTATCTAGTTGCAAATAGAGAAGAAGAATTGGACTTTTGAGACTAGTTAGGAAGATTCTGGTCTAGGTAGAAAGACAGTGATACTCTAAGACACTATTTGATTATGTGACAACTCTTGGGAATGATGAGGCAAGGTAATTTTGTGAAGGAGGTAGGACTTGTGCTGTTTACTGAGAACGGGAATAGTACAGAAGAATGGGGTTTGTTTAAATGCTGATGAGTTCAATTTAGACATGCTGGATTTAAGGAAGGGAAGCAGATTTTATGGAAGGTGGGTACAGCCAACAGTGGTAAGATTTTTGGGTTGTTTTTTTTTTTTTTTTTTTTTTTGCCTTGAATTGTATAGATTTTTTTTAGGCACTTCTTTGAACATTATTAATGTTTAAATGTTTAAATCAACATTTAAATGTTGATTGTGTTTTGGGAGGAGTACGATGAGATATTAATGTCTTTAATATTTAGATAAATTTGGGGATGATTTTGTGTTTTGTGAACATTATAGCTTCCATGCCCTATGTAGGTTAGGGACATTTTTTAAAGCAAACCAAGAAATTGTATGAAATATCTCTTAAACTTATAAATTATTTACTAAATATACAAGCAAAGCTTTTTTATTGTAAGAAAAATTGGAACCTAGAAATTAACATGAAGGGAAAAAAACAATAGTTCTACCACTGGGTTGAATGTATACTCATTTTTTTTCCTGTGTGTTGTTTCT